CCTCCCCCGCCCCCAAAACACAAATACCAAGTGCAGAAACAGTACTCTGGAATAAAGTTCACCTTCCCATAAGGCTGCTGTTATTTAATGAAGGAAATACAGGACTTCAACTGACCAGCTTCAACTGACCAGAGAACATAGCAATGGAAGTAGCTCATACCCTGCACTGGTGTGACACACAATAACCCAAATTATCATTGTTTACTCTCTGACAAATAAAGGAGCGTAGCTGTGAGTAAGCATGAGTTCTATGCTTATCTTGGTTTGGTGGGACACTGTGATTCTCACCGCATCACGTCCTACGCTGCAATGGACTTCTGTCAACAAATGGGGACTCTCTTTTGCAGTTTGAGCAGCTCCGTGAAGAGGGTTGCTGCAGTATCGATGAACCAAGGAAAACAAAAGCACAAATGCCAGTGGGTGCCATCTGATGCCTCCTTACTCCTCCTATACTGGTTTTTTGATTATTGCAGAGGAGGTAGACAGACATGGATGGGACCACTCTGAAGTGGCTGATCACCTTCCCTGCATTATAGGAAAAACATCTAGGGCAGGTATTTCTCAACCTTAGCATCTTTAAGATGGGTGGACTTCAACGCCCAGAGTTCCCCAGCCAGCCAGCCAGCCAACACTGATCTAAGGGCAATACACATCACTACATGTCTGCTCCTTGCTAGAGAAAGCAGAGTTAACCATCAGCGAAAGCCAATGTTTATATTTCTTTGACATGAGAAATAGTAAATGTAGTTATTCAAAGGGTGTTTGAGAAAGAGTGCAAAGAACTGCGACACAGGGTATAAACAAAAGCCCTGCTTTTTTATTTTGAAACTTAAAAATGACAGTTGAAAAAGTATGTAGAAATTTCAGGAGATGGTTACACAAATATCAAAGGCAACAGAAGAAGGAAACGCACAACAGAACTAGTTGAGTGAAAACATCCACCAATACAGTTTTTATACAAAAAAACAACAAATTCTACTTCCCATCATGCTGCATTAGCTGTCATATCTGAATTCCTATTCAATTATTTTAAAATAGCTTCTACATTTTAATAAAAAGATTTTAAAATTAACACTTTTAATATCATGGCATTTGTCTGAAACAAATATGAAAAAACCCCCTCAAAAATACATTTGTTTTTAATATCACAACATGAAACATATACTACACACGTACACACACACACACATTTACAGGATGGGAATAGAAACAACTCTGTCTGTAGATGCATTGATTTTGTGCTTAGAAGCTGAACATTCTTGAATATTAGAATTTTATTCTAGAATTGTGCGAGTCAGACAAGGTACTTCTGGTAGAAAACCATTTTGTACCGAGCCCACTGTGAGTAGCCTAATTTTATTTGCTGTAATGAAGAAATCTGAAAAGGAAGAGGGAAGGAGCCATGGAAATAATTTCTGCTCACCCCAAAAGATGATCAAAGATAACTTACCAGATTGAAAACTTATCAGGCCTAAAAGAATGATGTTTAGATGAACCCTGAATATGACAGAGCTTGTTAACATCATAATGAAAGTACAAGAATGAATTTTTTTTATTTGAATAATACAAAATAATTCATACTATTCAAATAAGCAAATGTTCCCTTAATGCACTAATATTCAATAAATGCCACAGTACCAAAGAGTAATTTGCATTTGCGAGGATGATCTGGCTGGGACATGTGTCACCCACTGATCACCAGGACTGATTTGGCTGATGTGACCGGTTACGTGGGTGTCACCTTTCTCTCTCATCGCTCCATGTGCACCCCTCCTAATTTGTATTACAGAAAGCTAAATATGATATATTTGGTTTTGAACTATTGTAGTGTTTTGCATTAAACTTGAAATTAGCTGGAGTATACTAGCTTTTCAAATATATTGTGTAATTTATGGTCCTCGTTAAGATGATGAAAATAGTGGCACGAGGTCTAATTTGGGAACATTAGCTGCCTATTTCTACAAATACTATTTGCTTCCTCAAAAAGACCCAACTACTGACATTTTTTTGTTTAAATTAACCACTATATCTTCTGAACCAAAAAGATGAGGAAGACACTCATTTATATAACATAAGTGTATCAAAAGGATTTCACTGAAAATTAAAATGAAGTACATGTGCTTAATAAGAAAATTCTCTTTTACAATAGAACCATCTATGTCAGTGCATCTATTATCCTTGGTTCTATCATTGTTACTGCTGTACCACTTTCATTTAGCCTACAGAAATAAGAAGGCTTCAGTCATAATTCTTAAGGGATAATAAGTATACATATGATGTTCCAAAGTCCCAAGTGCCATAACAGTGTAATTCTAGGGAAGTTTAATCAGAAGCAAATCCCACCAAATTCAGTGGGTCTCAATTACAAAGCTAACTCACAATAAATTCAGGACATTGACAGAACAGGAGCTGATTTTTATACTACATGCAAGCTGCTATCTTGTGTGGACGTAACATTTACTATAATCAATGTGGGGATACTTCTTACTCTGCAATTCATTTTTAATCAGGGTTTTCAAAATTAATTTGGTAGCATAAGTAGTTTAATTTGGACAATGCTGTAAGTAAAGCTGAAAGATGGAGGGACAAGAAAAAATAAGCAGTCTTATGAACTATCTCTAAACCTAGTTGTCAGAAAATCACACTTTATACACAATGTACTGAACATCACTTAATGCAACAGTAAATCTATAAAACACAAAGTAACATTACATGTGAAGCAGAACATCCAGCGATATCTTTTATTTCATATTAGACAACTTCTGGCCAGAACCTTGTTTTAGACTCCAATTTTGGTATAATTTTTATTATTATTATTATTTCATTTCTTTTTATATCAATAAAAAGTATTCAGCTTACAGCAAGTTAATGATGTTATGGTAAAGTTCATACCAGATGGCAAATGCATTTTATCAATTGCTTCCCAACAGAAACATTGTTCACCCATGCAGGAAAAACATCAATAAAAAGGATGGCACAGGTTAGAAGTAGGAAATCAGACACATTCCTCAGCCGACATCAGAAGAGGATTGATATATTCAAAACCTTCAAACTCAGACTGATCAATCTTCTTTACAATATCACTGAAAATAAGAGCAAGAATATCAAAATTAAGTTTTTATTCTAAAAAGAAAGTAAAATTATAGCAGTCAAAGAAAGAAGCTTGTAACAAGGCCCTAGGTCAAACAGTTCAGCTAGCAGGATTCAAAAAGGATTGCAGACATATTTTCCCACAAGTTAAAAACATTGCTTTTATTATGGTATTAGGAAATGTGTTAAGCACGTCTCCTATCACTAAACCACAATTCAAACTACCTATGACTAAATGGATGCAGAATTGGTAATTGATATGCAACAATGGAAATTAAAAAAACAAAAACAAATTTCACATCAAAAACGTTACATTTAAGAATTTAAATTACACTTAGAGGAAGCTGATGTTTTACCACCGGTATTGATTGCTTAAATGGACAGTGCATTCTCTAAAAATTGTTGGAAATATAAAAACCAGACTGGATAATTTTTCAGTATTTGTGTGAATGTTGTCAAGTTCAACAATTAAAAAAATAATTTAAAATAGAATGCAATAGATTTTAAAAACCGGGTTTCTTTTCCAACTCGCTATTTTTTAATTCAATATTATTAACCTTACATTTCCACAAGGTAGTTTTGCACATGGCTAATGCTGCAAGGATTCTCTCTGCTTCTATTGGAAAGTACAGACAATTCCTTCTGCAGACGAATGGCTAATTAAGCTCTGCAAATGCACCTTGATGTCCACAATAATTTCATATTTCAAAATAAATCTGGCACACAATTTAATTCAACTTGGAAACCATTTTTTGGACTATAACTGTATTCATGGGTTTGTACTACACCCGAAATTCAGGTTTCTCTCAACACAAAGTCTTCAATTGCCCAGATAGAAATTACTGTAATTCGTAATCTCATTTTGTGATTTATACTTCATTGATTATTGATATTCATATATTATTTGAGTTTTAACAATGTAGTTTTTAAAATGGTATAGTATACTTAATTATTTAAAATTAATCAATGAAATATTGAAAATGTTATCCTATGATGCCTGTAAATTCCCTATTTATCCTTTTTGTGCTTTATTTTTCCTTTTTCGCCTTTCTCCCCCTCTTTTATGAGGGTGTTTTTTCCTTTAATTTTTCCTTTTCTTCAAAATGTTTAATAAAAATTACCACTGAAGAAGAATGTATGATAATTAAATTTAAATATAATTATGCTCAAGAAATGTCAGCTTTATTAACTGTTATTTGACTCTCATGCCAGAGTCCTGTCTCCCTTACGTATTCGTTTTCTGTATATTTCTTCTTTCAGACATCCAAAAATCAGACCAATCTACTCTGTGGCAGAAAAGCAAGACTTTCAATGTTATCAGTTAATCAGTTTCTAGTTAGAAATCACTTGGTATCTTATCTTTTAGCTATAATCTACAATACTTGGACAACTTTAAAGTGAAGAGAAACTACAAGTGTTTTTACTCTTGGTAAGCACTTTCATTTGCACCCATGTAACTTAGTTACTTCAGTGAAGGGCAGATGCAGAACATCAGGATCAATCCATGGCATCTTCAGCTAGAATCATATGGTAGTTGCTAATCTCCAACCAAAAGATTGCATGGAGTGATGTCAGATAATTTTGGACTACATGTATCAGTCTCTTATACTGAACTATTGGAAAAGGATCAAAACATTAAATTGGCCCCACTGACCTTAGATTTCAGAAATAAATTTAACTAGACTTTAATCCCCCAATTTACCAACAGCCTTTCTATTCATTACATTAAGAAAGTCATTTCTGATGAAGAATGGTCCTTGTTCAATCAGACCATGGATCTATCAAGTCAAATATCCTGCCTCCAAGTGGTCAGTCAGATGATTCAGGATGCCCATAAACCAGGGAAGATGTTTGTCTCCATTCCTAGCAACCAACATTCAAACTTTATGAACATGAAGCTTATGCATAACTCTCTTATACTCCATAGGCTATGGTTCCATGAGAGCTGCTAGGTTTACAAAAGAATATTTCTTTTGATGTATTAACTTCCAAAATCATTTACTTACTCATCATCAGGGGTGAGTTGAACAGGTTCATTGGTAAACTGGGAATCAAAGTTGTCCAGACCAAATTCTCCAGAAATATTTGGTTTAAATGGAGGAACTACCTGTTTTTGTTCCATCTAGAAATAAAGTTCATTCAGCATTAAAATATAGCTTTTTATAAATAATGAGTAATCTTTCCAAGGTTATTAAAGGCAAAATATGGGACAATGAGGTTTATCTGACCTTCCTTCCTTCCTTCCTTCCTTCCTTCCTTCCTTCCTTCCTTCCTTCCTTCC